GTACTACATCAGAGAGCCTTCATTTTCCACAGATAAGCTAAACAATCTTGGAAACTCTTCACTGGGCCTACTACTGCACCACCACTTATCAGTTCATAAATGAATTCTCTCCCCATTTCCAACCTTGACTTTTGCATTTTCCAAATAAAAGTCAAAACAGTAGAAATTTGAAATATGGTGTAATGCAAAACAGATAATGAAGCTGTGCTTTTATTAGTGGGTGTGTGGTAGCGTGTGTAAAGCTAAAAATAAAACTTTACGCTAAAGCATAGAGAAGATAATGAATGAATCCATTAGCATAATCTCTAAAAATTACATATTAAAAGTAGTTCAAAAATATCGTCCCCATATTCATGCTCTATAATTTTCAAGATCGTGAAAAATTAAATCAAATTAATTGACCCAATTATTTGCACAACACTTGGTTGAAGGCAAGCAAGCTGATCTACAGATAATGATACAATACCCATTCTATCTATTCTTCTGTCCTATTTTTTCTATTTGTTCTATTATATAAAGCGAACGACCCATTTGGGGTGAACCCTGTTATGCTTTTTCCTTTACCAAAAAATGCCCTCCACTTTTAGTAACTGTCACATTCAATAACTAGAATACCTAAGCACACAAACGTATGTAATTGAAATGATCAGGAAGATCATGGGTTAGAGTAGAGAGTGATGGGCAAATTGCATACATCAGTTTTTATTGGTTGATTGTTCTTTTTAATCCTTAAAGTAAATAACTATTTAGCAAAAATCTAGTAGTGTTTGTTGGGGTTATTTTCGGATATCAAAATTAGGTGACATAGTTCATACCAAGTGAGTTGTGGCTTTATATAATATAATAGATACATAGATTGATAAGTAATGCTAGAGGACCCAAATAATCTACCAAATGTTTTACCAAACCTTTCATATGGGTGTGGAACCCACACACATGTGGGTTTGTGTGAGTCTCATGCCATGTGAGAGGCTTGGTAAATCATTTGATAGATTATTTGGGGTCTCTAGCATTTTCCTAGATTGATTGCTAAATAGCTTTTCTCATTCATCACATTATCAAAACTATTACAGTTTTTCTCATTTAAAAGTTGTTAAACGGCTTTCGTTATTTATCAAAATGCCCAGAAATTTAAATGTAAAATTGCAATTTATATTCCAAAAGTAGCATCAAACCCTGACTTTCCAAAATTTCACAACCAAAACCCCAAAATTCAAAAGCACTATGACCCCTAGATATGACCATACAATACCCCTTATAAAAAAACAAGCACATGGTAAGCAACACAATCAGAAATGTACAATTGCATGAGAGAGGGTGAGACTCACATTTGGCCCACGAATACAAGCAGCAATGTTCAAGGATGGGTCTGCTTCAAATTCAAAGGAAGACAAAGTTACTGTGTATAACTACTAAATGCACTCAAATGTAATAAATAACTTGCAACTTTAGTCCAAAGCCTTAGGTCATGCAATACTCAGGGTGCTAGAAATACTTTTCCATCTGTAATGTAATTTGACCTGTTTTAAAATGCTTTAATTAGTTGTGCATTTTATCTGATGTTAGCAACACTTGTCAATATTTTGATATTTGTGTTACTTTACTAGTTCAATCATTGCTCTGCATGCCTTTCTCAAATAAAATGCAAGCCATCATATAAACCTGATCATCACGTTGTTACATTATTTATGTTTCTTATTTCTCAATGCAATTTGTTTTTGCCCTAAATATTTCTTGCACCAATCTCTTATTCCCCTGTGTAGTGGAGTCCTCAATGGTCCTTGAGGCCTCCGAAACTTGATAAATGGTTCTTACATGTCAAGCAAACAATTCTACCTATTAATGTTGCCAAGAAATGTACAATCTTCTCAACCTAGGTGTCAATGGGAAGTAATGTAATATCTTGTGAGGGATCTTCTTACCCTTGCTATCATTTACTCTGTACCTAGATGTTTGACATGTGGGACATTTTTCCAAGTGAGCATTCTCCTACCAAATTAGTACACAATCATGTTTACATGCATCGATGGGCTCGTACCCCTAGTCCAAGTCACGTAATAACTTCTTGCACTCATGAATTGACTCTGGCACCACATGGCCTTCTTGTAGGAATTGTCTTTGTATCTCTAAAACCTTGTCAAAAGACTTATTGCTCCACCTTTTTTCTAGCTTCACATATAGTATCTGAATAACGAATAATAATAAAGTATTTCAATTTTTGCAACTTGAGTACAAGCAATATTGGGAAGCATCTAAAATATTACTTTAGACAACATATAAAGACGTCACATCAAGAAACAATAGAGGATCGTAATCAGATGAGAGTGTTCTTAAATCGATCTCTAGCCAGTAAACTACTAGCAGAGGCGTAAAGGCTTTCTTTTGCCATACCATAATTGAGATATACTGTAGTGACAATGATGAAACGTCTACCCCAAGCTTTTTTGTACTTTGTCCCTTTCTTTTTCTTTAATAAATTGCTTTAATTGCTATAAAAAAAAATTAATAAAAAAAAGGTTAAATTTTTTTTTGTCATTTTTTTTTTAATGTTTCGCCACTCTCTTATTTTGGCCCTTAAATTTTATTTTATTTTTTCACTTTGATTATTCTTGTTTCAAGTTTCTTCTACTTTACTTCTAAAACAAATTTATATTAAAAATTGGACAAAAAATAACATATTAACTGTCACATGATATAAAAATATTTTATTATATATGACTTATATCTCTGTCATAAACTTAAATTTCAATATAATAATATATATTTTTTATATTATGTGACAATTATTGTGGCATTTCTATCTAATTTTGAACAGAAATGAACTTTATGAGTAAACTAAGAAAAATTTAAAACATGAAAAGCCAAATTAGGGAAAAAAAATTAAATGTCAAAGTGAAAAAAATGACTAAACATAAAGGGGACAAAGTATAATTGACCCTTAAATATATGAACGACCATACCATAGTGAGTATTCTCGAAACATTATGTAAACATTATTTATGCAGCATTTCAAACTAATCATGTAACAAGTTTTTATTAAAACATGATGGCTTCTCTGTATTATTAGTTAAGTGATAATGGAGGATTTACTGGTCGTTTAGGAACATGCTTTTTCAATGGCTTTTGATTTTTTAGTTAAAATATGAGATAAAAAAAATATATTTACGATTTTTTTTTTAAACAAAAAGATGCATAAATAATGGAATGAATGGAAAGAAATCTTTGACTTTTGAATACTTATTGGCTTTTAAATTTTTTATTATAATTTTTTGACTTTTAAATTATTTTTAAGTTTCCAAATGATTTCTCAATATTTACTGTAATTTCTCATTTGTCATCAATTCTACGACTGAGACATGACAACATACTTTTATTAAGTAGATAATGAATTGTTGTGATTTCTCTTTTAAAAAACTTCATGTCAATGGAGATTTTAAAAAATAATTATAAATATGTGTTAAATTTTATAAATATTAATAATTAAAATTATATATATTTTTTATATTAGAAAAAATTACTCATAAGTCCCATTTTGAAAAATGTTACTCCATCTAATCCTAAGTGTTTTTTTATAAACCATTTAGTCCTTTTTTAACATCATAACATCATCATCAAAACAATATCAAACATTAAAACATCATCACCATCAACAAACATCAATCAACATTCGAACATCATCACCAATATATTCAAACATCATCAATAGATTGATATATAAATAGATATACCAATAGATTCATATATATATATATATATATATATTGCTGGAGAGAAGGGTTAGGGTTTGAGTTGTTTCACATACATGATGATGATGGATGATCACTCGAATCATGAGAGGCGAAACGGTTTGCTGTTGCCGGAGACCTATTCGCACTTGACGGAGTTCCAACATCAATCAACATTCGAACATCATCACCAATATATTTGAACATCATCAATAGATTGATATATACACAGATATACCAATAGATTCATATATTTATATATATATATATATATATTGCTGGAGAGAAGGGTTAGGGTTTGAGTTGTTTCACATACATGATGATGATGGATGATCACTCGAATCATCAGAGGCGAAACGGTTTGCTGTTGCTGGAGACCTGTTCGCACTTGACGGAGTTCCAATCGCGGCACGGTACGACGCCAAACCGTTGCCGGAGACCTGTTTGCACTGGACGGAGTTCCGATCGCGGCACGGTACGACGCCGTTCCGAGCTTTGCAGGATTGCCTTAGGGTTCGGCCGATAAAACCACTTCTCTCTGTGGGTTTTCTTTCTTCTTCCTTTCATTCTTCAAGAAATCTGAACGAACTGGTGAACTGAAATTGAACCAGTAGCAGGAACTTAACAATGGGACATCAATGAATCTGATGATGTTAGATTAATGAATATGACGTTGGATGAATAGTGTTTGATGTTCTAATGAATTTGATGGTGGATCTCGAGCAATAGTTTCAATTTTTTTAAAAAATAAATCTGATGTTTGATGTTTGATGAATAATGTTTGATGTTTGATGAATAATCTTGATGTTTAATCGTTGTGTTTGATTTTTGATGAATAATGTTTGTTGTTTGATGAATAATCCTAATGTTTAATGGTTGATGTTTGATGAATAATTCTGACGTTGATAATGTTTGATGTTGGATGAATAATTCTAACGTTGTTAATGTTTTCACCGACATTATACGGATAATCCTGACGTTCCTAATATTTGATGTTTGATAAATAATTCTGACGTTGCTAATGTTTGATGTTTGATGAATAATGTTTGACATAAAAAGGCCTATAGTAAGCTTTTAGAGAAATAGGACCTATTAGTCCATCAAAAAACCTTCAAGACTAAATGGGTTAATATTTCCAAATTTAAGATTTATTGGTGCTTTCCCGTTTATATTATCACCAAAGAGTAATTTTTCCGTTCTCTTTTATAACAAAATTATTACATAAATGACATCACATATTCTGTAGCCATATCTAATAATTTTTGGACCAATTAAATTTAATGACGGTAAGTTTCACAAAATTCAAATGAGATAAGGTAAAAGAATGATGGAGATAAGGCCATGCATGCATTGGCCGGTTAATAGATTTTTATGTATGAAATTTCAACGCTGATGTAGGCCATTACGTCACTACCACCCTTAAATCCATTTCAACCACCACCACCACTACCAACACTAACACCAACAGCAACAGCAACAGCTACAATGGCTTCCCAAAATAACCACCTTCACTTTGTTTTAGTACCTCTAATGGCCCCAGGCCACTTCATACCCATGATTGACATGGCCAAATTATTGGCACAACACGGTGTGACTGTCACCGTCGTCACCACCCCTCTCCTTGCTTCCAGATTCAACCCAATCATCAACCGTGCAATTGAATCCGGACTCCCCCTCCGCCTTCTCTCTCTCCGGTTCCCGTCCGTAGAGGCTGGCCTGCCGGAGAGGTGCGAAACGGTAGAAACCGTGCCCTCTCTAGACCTACTAAGAAATTTCAACGTTGCCATCTGCTTGTTGCAAGAACCATTCGAGCAGTTGTTTGAAACGCTCGAGCCGTCTCCAAGTTGCATAATAGCTGACAAAAGCATTCCATGGGTAGCCGACACTGCTCGCAAGTTCCAAATTCCGAGAATTATTTTTGATGGAATGAACTGCTTCACTCTTTTATGCACACACAATTTACGTATCACAAAAGTTCATGAGAGTGTGTCCGAGTCAGAACCGTTCGAGCTCCCGGGCTTGCCTGACAAAATTCAGCTAACAAAATCTCAGTTGGTGCTAGAAATACTTTTCCATCTGTAATGTAATTTGACCTGTTTTAAAATGCTTTAATTAGTTGTGCATTTTATCTGATGTTAGCAACACTTGTCAATATTTTGATATTTGTGTTACTTTACTAGTTCAATCATTGCTCTGCATGCCTTTCTCAAATAAAATGCAAGCCATCATATAAACCTGATCATCACGTTGTTACATTATTTATGTTTCTTATTTCTCAATGCAATTTGTTTTTGCCCTAAATATTTCTTGCACCAATCTCTTATTCCCCTGTGTAGTGGAGTCCTCAATGGTCCTTGAGGCCTCCGAAACTTGATAAATGGTTCTTACATGTCAAGCAAACAATTCTACCTATTAATGTTGCCAAGAAATGTACAATCTTCTCAACCTAGGTGTCAATGGGAAGTAATGTAATATCTTGTGAGGGATCTTCTTACCCTTGCTATCATTTACTCTGTACCTAGATGTTTGACATGTGGGACATTTTTCCAAGTGAGCATTCTCCTACCAAATTAGTACACAATCATGTTTACATGCATCGATGGGCTCGTACCCCTAGTCCAAGTCACGTAATAACTTCTTGCACTCATGAATTGACTCTGGCACCACATGGCCTTCTTGTAGGAATTGTCTTTGTATCTCTAAAACCTTGTCAAAAGACTTATTGCTCCACCTTTTTTCTAGCTTCACATATAGTATCTGAATAACGAATAATAATAAAGTATTTCAATTTTTGCAACTTGAGTACAAGCAATATTGGGAAGCATCTAAAATATTACTTCAGACAACATATAAAGACGTCACATCAAGAAACAATAGAGGATCGTAATCAGATGAGAGTGTTCTTAAATCGATCTCTAGCCAGTAAACTACTAGCAGAGGCGTAAAGGCTTTCTTTTGCCATACCATAATTGAGATATACTGTAGTGACAATGATGAAACGTCTACCCCAAGCTTTTTTGTACTTTGTCCCTTTCTTTTTCTTTAATAAATTGCTTTAATTGCTATAAAAAAAAATTAATAAAAAAAAGGTTAAATTTTTTTTTGTCATTTTTTTTTTAATGTTTCGCCACTCTCTTATTTTGGCCCTTAAATTTTATAATAGGATTACATTTCTCATTCCTTTTCCAAATTTCACCCCAAAAACCTCAACCAAACACAGCATAAACAAACGTGGCCTTACAGTGGTGGCTTATTTTTCCCCGTATGAGGGTTGTAGTAGTTAGACTTGGACTTAGCATATTGGTTATGCAGGTTGTGATTGTTGGGCTTGGTATATTAGTTATATTAGGTTTCATTGACTTTTTAGTTATTGTGGTTAGTACTCTATTTGATTGGTGATGTAAAATATTTTTTATAGTATTTATAATTACTCTCCTATCAATTAAAAAGAAACTAATCCGACAGTGATTTTTTTTTTTTTTGAATTGCCAGCAAATCTATCTATTAGCGTGAGTACGTGATTTGTCTACTCCCTTCAATGGATTTAGTGTTGTGTAGAGCGTGCCGAGAAAACTCAATCACATCAAGATAATTAATGGTTTCGAATATGAAACAATCACATAAATCCATTAGAGATAAACAATCACAAAATATCAATATTTATGTGGTTGAGCCTAAGCCTACCACCACAGGTAAAGATAAGGATCTACTAGTAACGAAAACGATTACTCTGAAAAGCTACAATTGTGGCAAAGCAATCCCTCACAATGCTTACCACCCAAATACATGATCTCTCACGAAATCCAAAATTCTCTCTCTACCTGCAAACGACAAATTCTCACAAAGAGACGCCAATAAATCTAGTTAAATATAACCATAGACTCCAAATAAAGAGAACCCTCTTCTAATTCCTCCAAAACGGGCAATGGCCTCTTTCCAAAGAGAGATCCCACAGGACTTCCAGTAGCTTGACCAAAGAAATTGAAAAGTTCAATTAAATTAATGAGAGTCTCCACTTATTTATATCCAAGGAATCCTTCCTGAAACAAAATAGGTTTCCTTTTAATCCAATCCAAAACCAACTAGGAAATACTAAATCCAAAACTTTAAAAGTCCAAACCGAGTCATTTATCATAAATTCAAACCAATATGGGAGTCAAAACCAAGTCAGTGTTTGACTACCCACAAATCCTATTCCAATTAGGAAATAGAATGCTGAATCCAAATTATATTGGGAATAGACATTGAGCCAATAATCCAACATAGTTTAATAACTAAAATAAATTTTTGGAAAAATTACTCATAAGTCCCAAATTAGAAAATGTTACTCCATCTAGTCCTAAATGTTTTTTTATAAACCATTTAGTCCTTTTTTTACATCATAACATCATCATCAAAACAATATCAAACATTAAAACATCATCACCATCAACAAACATCAATCAACATTCGAACATCATCACCAATATATTTGAACATCATCAATAGATTGATATATACACAGATATACCAATAGATTCATATATTTATATATATATATATATATATTGCTGGAGAGAAGGGTTAGGGTTTGAGTTGTTTCACATACATGATGATGATGGATGATCACTCGAATCATCAGAGGCGAAACGGTTTGCTGTTGCTGGAGACCTGTTCGCACTTGACGGAGTTCCAATCGCGGCACGGTACGACGCCAAACCGTTGCCGGAGACCTGTTTGCACTGGACGGAGTTCCGATCGCGGCACGGTACGACGCCGTTCCGAGCTTTGCAGGATTGCCTTAGGGTTCGGCCGATAAAACCACTTCTCTCTGTGGGTTTTCTTTCTTCTTCCTTTCATTCTTCAAGAAATCTGAACGAACTGGTGAACTGAAATTGAACCAGTAGCAGGAACTTAACAATGGGACATCAATGAATCTGATGATGTTAGATTAATGAATATGATGTTGAATGAATAATGTTTAATGTTCTAATGAATTTAATGATGGATCTCGAGCAATAGTTTCAATTTTTTAAAAATAAATCTGATGTTTGATGTTTGATGAATAATCCTGATATTTAATGGTTGTGTTTGATGTTTGATGAATAATGTTTGCAACAAATACATCAAAAAAGCTAGGAGGAGGAGTGCAAAGAGCATCATAGCGAACCCTATCAATCCCAACTAGGTTGGCACCGACAGGGCCGCACAATCATATGCTAGCACCACCACAAGAGTTGGTGAGGAACCAACCACCAACAACAAAGACTACCTCACCCAAAAAAGCATTGGCCACACCTAGAACAAACCAAGCAAACAATCTATTCCTATTTACCGGCCTCACTGATCAACCAACCTCATAGCAGCAGCAGAGGAGACAACCAGAGCAACCAGCAGAAGAGGACTGAAGGACAACTACAAAGCTACCCAGCAGAAGAAGGCATAGACAAGTAACTCTCTATAACCTTACTGATAAATCAAACTTCCAACATCCTTGGGTTTGTATCTTGGACTGTGTTTCCCACCTTGCCATCAAATGTAGTACCTGCAGACCAAACATGCGATGATAACAAACTTACTCCTCTGCTTAGAGGCCAGAGGAAGCATCAGACCACAGCCACTGCAAGCTGCAATAGACCAGCCTCAGACCACTGCCACTTTCACCAGCTTACCTGCACACAGTGCTCCCTCTGCATCAGTCCAGCTTCACCAAAACATGCACCAAGACAGCAGTAGAATGGAACCAAACTGCCCACCCAGCAGCAAGCAACCCAGCAGCCCACACAGCTGGCCTGACAGTATTCTACAGTCCAACACCAATATCTGCTTCAACCAATGCCCCTGATGCAGAACCTTACCTGTTGCAGGTTGTTCACAAAGTCATTTACAGAATAACCTGAGTAGCAAGCGCCCGCATCTTTGCACCACAACGCGACTCGCACTTTAATGGCCTCACACAGCTCCTCTAAATTTGGATGAATGCCATTAAAGATACAATCATTTCTTAATTTCCAGATGGACCAAATCACGGCCAGAGGCATGGCCTTCCAAATCACCCTCTCTTTTTTATTCAGCCTTGTACCAACCCACCAATCAAACAGACAGAGCACTGAACCCGGTAGAACCCATTGCAAACCCCACCAATTTAGCATATGTGTCCAAACCTTCCAAACAAAAGGGCAAAGAAGAAGCACATGATTTACACTGTCCATTTCTTCATTGCAGAAAATGCAACTCACATTGGCCTCATCTGAAAGCACTCTAATTCGTTGCAAAAAACTAGAGGTCTTTAACCTTCCTTTCCATGCCAACCAACCAAAAAATTGAGCTCTAGGCGAAGAAACATTATTCCATAGCAGATCTGAAACCTTACAAACTGTACCAAAGGAATTTTCACACCACTTATAAACCGAGAACACAGTGAAGTTACCTGATGGGTCTGCTTTCCAATGCAGAGCATCGGCTACACTTTCCCTAAGGGCTGGAGCATTACTCAGCAGCAATTTCAATCTATGCAAATCCTCCACCTCCCACTGAAAAAGTGCTCTTCTAAAATTGAGGTTCCACTCCACCCCACTGTGTCTTCTGGAGTGCATCACATACACAGAATCAAACTTTTCTAGAGACAAGGAATAAAGCCTAGGGAAAACTTCCATCAAGCTCACATTATTACACCATGTACCTTGCCAGAACAGAGTGTTTTTCCCATCCCCAATCACTGGAGCAGAGTTTTCTTTAAAGAATTCTACCAGGTCTGGTCTGGTTCTAGCAACACCCAAGATATCAGCCCATATACAAGAGATCCTAGGGTTATCAACAGGTTCTGGACACCACCCTACACCCACCTGATTGTATTTGTTATCTATCACCTGTTTCCACAGAGCATTAGGTTCAGCCCCAAACCTCCACCACCATTTCAATAGGAGGCACTCATTCATGAGTCTAATCCTTTTAACCCCGAGACCCCCCTGCTGTTTGCTTTTAGCAATCTCCTTCCATTTAACCAAATGTATTTTCCTCCTAGAGCCATCCCCACCCCAGAGAAAATTGGATTGAATAGACACAAATTCCTTAGC